CCGCGGGAGAAGTGCTAGAGTCCTGGTCGGCGGGAGTGCTGTTGCTAGATGCGTTGGTACTCGACGCGTCGGCTGCCGAGGTGGTGGTAGTCGCGGCCGTGGTGGTAGTCGCGGCCGTGGTGGTAGTCGTGGCAGCAGTGGTGGTGGTTGCAGGCGGAGCTGTTGTGCTGCTAGTGGGGCAGGAGACTTCCTGCGTTAGTGTGTCGACGGAATCTACGATGGCCTGGATAAGCGTGTCGGCGGTGTCCGAGTAGCGAGCAATGAGGTACTTCTGGATACCAGCGTCCTTGAAGTCCTGGTCGTAGACCTGCACAAGACAGTCGACCCAAGAGTCTGAGTTGTCGGGCACGGCCATACCGCGATCCGCGCACTTGAAGTTGTCGACCATGGACTGGCCGGAAAGAATGAGGATGGGGAGGATGTTCTCTTTGTTGAGAACATCACCAACCTGCGAGAGCTTTGGGTACTCGTACTTGTGACAGGCTTCGGAAGCTTCGAAGGTCCCAGGATGGTCGGGAAGGGTTGCCCACTCAGCTGGTCCGAGGAGGTCCAGGAGTCGGTCGAACTCGGTTTGTTCCGTCTCTTCGAGAGAACCGTCGGCGTCCAACTTCGTCTTCAGCTCAAACAGCTGCTTATAGTTGTCGTCATTGCCTCGATACAGCGCCCCGTATGCCGCAAAGTCCTGACCCCAGAAGGTCCATGCCTCGCCATCGGGGTTCCAGGAGTTGATTCCGTCGTTCGCTTCGCCATAATAATGGGGGAAGTCGTCAGTCACAATAAGCATAATCTTCACGATGTCGTTGCCATTCTCGTCCACACCGGTCTGCGTCCAGTTGACCTTCGGGTCCAAGGCGGCGTAGATCATCGCCTCATACGGGTTTTCAGGGTAATCGCCACCCTCAGCCTGGGCACTATCCACCCGCTCGTAGCCCAGCTTCAGGTTTGCCGGGTCACTGGACATCGCGAACGTCGCCTCGTTGAAGTAGCAACGATCTACCTCACGGTGCTCCGGGACACCACGGGTGTAGCCCACACCACGGAACGGTACCGGTTTGTCGCTCCACACGGCCAGACTTGCCTCTACAGTTCCTATCTGATCGTTCAGCGAGTCAATCAGCGTCTCTACCTTGTTGGCCATGTCCTCGCCCAGCTCATAAAAAGAAGTGGACGCATCTTGCAGGATCATCAACTCAATGTGTCGCGTACACTCTAACCCACTCACAAGTAAAGTAGCACCAGATACCATAGCCAACTTGCCGAAAGCTCTCATTTTCAAGTATGTATAAGTAGATGAGTGTCTTTGTCTAAAAAACCAACTCTAACCGAGACAGACAGGCCTTGTTCAGGAGACAAAACGGGGAACACAAGAGGGGACAAAAGAGGGGACAAAAGAGGGTCCAGAAAATATCTTGCTCCCGTATGTGATTTGCGAAAGTGGGTTCATGACGGTGTGGTGGACAGCGCCTTGTTTTGAACCGTCGGCCTGCGGGTCCGTTACTCTGACGTTATGGTCACTGAACTAGTGCTGGACATATATTCGTCGAGTATTATTCACGACCCACAAAACGCGCGGAAACCAGATTTCATTCTCGCGACCATTTCGTCCTCTCTAACGGCGGCCATAACGAAGGCGGGTCTTGACCTGGAGGTATACTGGAGAGCAGTCGGAGATCTACCTGCATTTCCAAGAAAATAGCCCAGATTACAGGACGACACCGGGTTGCAGGACGATATCGAGTGGGAGAAGACAGTCTATAATGGACC